GGAGGGCTACGAGGATGAGGAGGGGACTGGAGCATCTCTCCTACGAGGAGAGGCTGAGGGAGCTGGGCTTGTTCAGCCTGGAGAAGAGAAGGCTGCGAGGGGACCTTAGAAATGCCTCGTTTTTGCAGGAAGCACGGGGTGATATGTGCTGCCCACACTCCTCCTAATGCACCCCAGGACCCCATTGGCCTTCTGGGCACCCAGGGCACGCTGCTGGCTCATGGTCAACCTTTCGACGCGCTGCTGGCCGTGCCGAGCTCGCCTCGCTGCAGATGGAGCTCCTGCACGAAGAAGGCAGGGTTGGTCGCTGGAGGAGCCATCGGGTTGCCCCGAGCACAGCGTCAGAGCTGTTGGTTTCACGGCGGTGCTTTGCCTCGGCACCGAGGAACTTGGGGTTCAATGATCAGCGCCCACCTGCTGCTTTCTTCTCCTCGGGTCACACACAGACCAACACCCACAGCGGAAAAAAAATGAAAATCAGGTGTTTCTTCACACGCTGCACATGCAAAACCCCTTTCTGACAGGGTATCGAGGAAGCTAAAAAATATACCTGGGTTCCATAAGCAACAGGGGAAACCCGATGAAGGCCCGTCCCGAAGCGGCGGGCGCGCAGACGCCGTCTCCGATCGTTGCCCCGGGGCGCAGGGGCCAGACGCTCTGTCAGCGTTTGGGAGAACTTCCCCCAGATCCCGTTCCTCCTGCTCCTCCCTGCCTAGGAGTCCTCACCCCCGAGGTGAGGTGGGGACCGCCGTGTCCCGCCCTGACATGCACGAGCCTCGCACGGGTGCTTTTTTTCACGTTTTGAACCCAAAATAGTCGGGAGGAGAAGCGGTGGCAGAACACCACTCACCGAGGAGGAAGATGGAATTGCTCCGGGAAGACGCAGCGCTGGATGTAAATACGCTAATGACCCGAAAGCATCACCAGATCCCCGTTTCCTCCAGCGCGCTGTGCTTTAACCTCCCTCCTAAATCAAAATTATGATCTCGCCGAGCCCATTTTTGACAGCCATTATGGTTCCTGAAATATCTTCTTTCCTGTAAAAAGTGCAGTGTCTTTTGGGCAAGTTCTTGGAAAGCTGCTGCCGCTGCCTCCGCCGAGATGCAGAGGCTCGGGGCTGGCGTGGG